GGCTTGTGAACGAGTTTACCAGAAGAACAAGGTTCTATTTTTCTGGATTTTAAGCATTCATCATGTCTGATTTCTGAAATCCCATTATCTCGCTTCAGTCTGATCCTTGTTCAATATATATTGATCTAGTTTTCTGATCATTGATTTTACTTGAAATTCTTCGGTCACTTTTAGATGATAAACTTAACTCCACAATCATACTTCATGCTGTACGTACGTAGTTTATTGGGCTTCCTAGAATACCTGGGATGCTATGATATATTAGCGTCTCCATCGTGATCACAGGTGAGCTTTCGCCGGCCTTTTCTAAATATGGATCCGGCTGGCAGGTTGCATCACTAATCCTAATGCGAATGAGATTGTGATTTTCTTTGAAAACATTGGATTTGGGAGATGAAGTGCACAACAGAACCGTTGTTTGATATGAGATGCTGATCACAATTATACTTGAGAAGAGAAAAGGCCTCGTGGAATGAGGCATCCATGCAGTAACTTGAGAAGAGAAAGTACCCTTCATGGCTGCCATGGCTGCAAAACCTACTGTAAAACAGGAAAGTGATGGCAGTATGAACCCATTACTGTCTTCTGATTCCATGGCATCAAGGCCAGTGCTAGTGGAGCAAAACATTGACACCACTGAAGTGCCAAAATTGAGAATGTCACTGGAGTACTGCAATGATCTCTAATTAAATCCTCTGTATATCATCAAAAATGATTTGACTGCTTGATTTCTATGTAAATTCCATGAAATCTACACTATTGGCAGGCATTTTGGTTCTTGCATCTTATCTAAACAGCTTGAGATGAGGGAACGGTGGCTGAGTCTTGCTGATACCAGTCCATCTAGCTCGTATTCTCACAAGGAGGTAATGCCTCTGATTCCTGATATCTACTCGAACTTCTCATCTGGTTCTCTAGAGTTTTGTTTGCTGAAAATTATAATTTCGATTGCTGTAAATGCAGGAAATTGCAAGAATTTACATGAGAAGAGGTGGAAGTGATAATGAGATCTTATCCCAAAATTTATTTTTTTTAATCGAATAAATTTCTACCTTTTATATTATATATTATTATTATTATTATTATTATTATTATTAAGCTAGGACTGGGTAATATATGGGGAAAAACAACTGTCTACTTATCTATATAATTTTTAAATTATGATTTTTTTTTAAAAAAAGTTCTATAGTCATTAGGGATTTATTCACTAATTTGTTTAAATGTTATTTTGAAGGATTATATTTGAGAAACCGTACACAATGCATAGCCTGAATATATTTGAGTTGAAGAAAAAATAAAAAATAAAAAAAATTATTTAATTTAAGTTAAAATATCAAAATCCAATTTATTATTTTTTAAAAAATAATATTATTTTAATTATTTTGTATAAACAAATTAAATTAGATTGAAATTTCAAACCGGTCTTTTTTGGATTTATCTGAAATGAGTTTTAAAAGAATTTTTAAAAATATAATTATGATTATTTTTTAAAATATTGTTTACATTAAAATATATATTTTTTATTTTAAAATTATTAACTAGCATATAAAATGATTCAAAATATATATCAAAATTAATTTTTATATTAAAATTTAATTTTTAATAAAAAAAATTAAATTTTTTTAAAAAGACGAGTTGCAACGAATAAATCTTAAAAATAAAATAAAAGGAGAATACCTAAACTACCCTGGTCTTCTAATGCTGCCTAGCGCCTACAACCCTAACTACAGTGAGCTCTGCATTTCCTTGAAAAAAAAAAAAAAAAAAACATGAAAAACCCTCCTCCTCCTCCCCCTTCACTCTAAACCCATAAACTCTTCCATAAAAAAAGAAGAAGATGAGCTCCATAACCACAAACCTTGCCTCTAAAACACTGAAAAGACGACTCCTCCCATTCACACCGAAACCCATCACCATTATCTCCCGCTCCTCCTCCTCCTCCTCCTCGGAAACCCAAACCCAGAAACTTGAACGCATTGCTGACGTGCTTCTTGACCTAACAAAGATCGAGAGGCACGATTATGCCATTCTCTTCAGACATAAAATGGGTCTTGGTCGTTATGGCCCTGCTGTCTCTGGGGCCATTTTATCAGGCCCGGCTGTTCCTGGATCCGCCTCCGGGGATGTGAAGACAGCTGCGGCGGCTGAGAAGACTGCCTTTGATATTAAGTTGGAGAAGTTTGATGCAGCGGCCAAGATCAAGGTTATAAAGGAAGTCAGGACTTTTACTGATTTGGGTTTGAAGGAAGCCAAGGACTTGGTGGAGAAAGTGCCTGTGGTTTTGAAGAAGGGTCTTACTAAAGAAGAGGCTGGTCCCATTATTGAAAAACTTAAAGCATTGGGAGCTACTGTGGTACTTGAATGAATTTGTTTTCTTTCTTATCTATCAAATTTTTTTTTGGTGAATTGTTATGTAGAATAACGTATTGTTCAACTTAAATGATCATGGAGAAATTTGGAGGACCTAGCATGCCATTTTTGTTATCATGGATTTCTCTAAATTGTGGTTTCTGTGTTACTATTAAATATTGAAATGATTGAAATCTGATTTTAGGACTTGTTGATTAGTTTTTAGAATATTTGATATCAAGGGAGGTTGGAACTCAATGCTAGCTGAGCTATAAAATACCAAAGTCAGGAGATTTTTGTTGATTAATTGATGGATAAGGACTTGAGTTAGTTCTCTCTTATGTTACTATTAAATATTGGAGCGATTGAAATCTGATTTTTGGACTACTTGTCGATTAGTTTTTAGTGTATTGGACAATAAGGGAGGTTGGGAGGAGGGGGAACTAATGCTAGTTGAACTACAACAACACCAAAAGTCTGGAGATTTTTGTTGATTAATTGATGGATAAGGATTCGAGCTGGTTTTGTTATTGGCTTGTTACAACTTAAATTTGTCCTCAATGGTTATGGCATGGTTAGTTTAGAGCTTGCCTCATACATTGAAAACGTTAACTCAAGACTTCTATGTTAAAAACTGGATGTTTAGGGTGTATGTAAAGATTTGTAGTTTACAAACTTGTGCTGAAGATAGATTGCTTTGGTACTAATTTTTCCATGAAATTGACATCTTTTAGACCTGCGAGGCAACTTCTGTCCTCTCATATTTGTCCTCTGTTTTCTAAATTTTTGGATAGGTCGTGTCACATAAGAACAATCCCTTCTTGTTAGATTTCTCCAGTCTAGTATGTGATTAATTCCATGTTTCATATCAACATAGACACATTTTCTCAAAATATTTGTTTTGTTGGCTTTTATGCAATGGAGGCTGTTATTGCTGGTTCTTCTAGTTATATTCTTAGGTTTGCTGTTGTTGCTAGGATATATGCTTAAAAAAGAGCACAAAATGTGTTGCTTCTCATAAATTGCAAATTCCCTATCAAGGTTTACTTGGGATTGTGGGAGGTGGAGTTGGTCAGACATTTTTGGAGTGAAAAAACAGATATGAGGTTTTTGGTTCTTTGTTCAAATGTCGAGACACTTGAAAGTTGAAACACCATGGTATTCAAAGCTTTACCACACACCCATATTTTAGTCACACAGGATGAGAATGCTCGTGGTTACCTTCATGGTCAATCCCCTTGATTGTTATGGGCATCATCTACTTAATTGCATCAGAGAAAACCGCTAGAGATTCATAACAGGACAGCAGTGCCTCTCTGGTAGGCATTTTACATGGACATCAGTGGCTTCTGAGCCGCTTCAAGATCACAAAGGAAATCAGAACAGGCTTTTCTCAAGTGGTGTGTTTCTTCAAAGTGGGTAATATGACATTTTATTTCACACAGATAGGAAAAAGTATAGCTGCATTAATATAAAAGACCATCTATACATGAACCTATGCCGCAGATAGGAAAAGTATAGTTGCATTAATATGAAAGACCATTTATACATGAAGCTATGCAGGACATATCGCTAAGACCGCAATGAGTTGCGTGCGAGAGAGAGCCAGACAGCTTAGATTCCATCTTTACATATAACAAAATGAACAGGAACACACATGCATGTTGTAAGCAACTGTTCCTCTGAATCTCAGCATTTACTTTCTTCAGCTCAAGTTTTTTCATTTCCCTAATCTACACGGGTCAAACCATAGCATTAGTTTTTGATATCGGTTCAAACAAAAGGTCCAAAAACCATCGTTCAGAGCAGTAAGGGTCAATTGTTAGCTGATGATTTACCATTTGCAAACTGCACATTTAAGAGAATATACAAAAAAAGGTACAAAATGGAACTTTGCCATGAAATACTCCCAACATTATGATGCCTCGAGTGAATTAACATGATTATGACTTTCCTAAATAGATTGAACATCCAGATGAACTTCAGTCAGGGATCACGCAGCTAGATTAATACTTCCACCAAATCATTCTCAACGTTCACCTGTTTTTTCTCCCAGGTGATTTTTGTTTAGAGATATATGCTATCATGTTAACTGCAGATAGGTTACAGAAGAGCAGAACCTCTGGGACAAAAATCGTTCCTTTAAGCTGTTGTAGCTTGTGTGCTAACAAAGGAAAGGGAGTTTTTGAGGATCTAAAAGGATATCATAGCCAAAGTTGTGCCATTTATTATGAAAGCTTTGGTGTTGATTGGAATACTGAACATCATCGTCTTCTGTAACATTTAACCTGTAGAACACAATGTGCTTCTTCAACACATGATACTTGGAAAATGGCCTAGTTCGTGTGCAGATTTACACTGACAAACTTTACAAGGCATCGTACTTATAGCATATAATTTGCTGATAGACATTTTGATGAAAAAATTTTCCAGCGTTGGAAATCCTTGTGATGATTCAAACAGTAGAAATACAGCGGAGTCTTTCTGACAGAGCATCTTATCCTAAAGAAGGGCGAAACCCATGAATTGCCCTCTCAAGGTGGCATGATTGGTTTTCCTTCTCTTTCTTCTTCTTCTTCTTCTTTTATCAGGAATGGTCGATTTTTCAAGTAAAAATGGCCAGATTTTCATCAATTAGTCTCATCTAGTAGCAAAAGCCAAAGAAATGAGCAGTGCATAATAGTGATGAATCATTTTGATATAGATAGATAGTACAACATAACTTCCGCCGCATGATCAAATGCAAGTATTACACTATGTTTTCAAGGGAATACAAGGTTTTGCTCATGGTTAGGCCAATAAATCTTTTCCCTTGGACAAGGTAAGGGTGCTCGTTGGGCAATATAAGTTGGAAGCTGCTCTCCAGGCATCACTACTGCAAAATCTGATGCATAAGCTGCTGGAACCTGTCACAAAGCCAACTTATTTTCATCAATCCATAGAAGCATATAACTAGCAGGCTTCTTACACACTAGGCCGAAGAAAAATTTATGGTTGAGTTTAGTCAGTGTTTCAGGATCAAAAAAAAAAAAAAAAACAAATATAAAAGCGACAAATACGTGTTTAGTAAGAGGGATCAAGACAGATATATAATAAATGTTCCTAGAAAAATTTTAAAGTGAATTTCTGTTATTTTTAAATAAAAGGGACGGGAGACACATACTCTCTATCCCTAATATCTCCATCTCTTTTGTCTCGGGATAACAACCAAACACAATAGTACTTGGTTTTCTTTTTTATCAAAAAGTGAAATACACAACTTAAATCCTTAGTGAAGACTTACTGTTTGAGGGTTTCCAAGTTTGTGTAGTGGTCTTGGTTCTGAAGAACCATCGGTGACTTCTTGAGGTGTAGAAAAAGAAGGATTAGGCCTAAACAGATGCTCGAAGATGGCCATTATCAGAAACATTGATATCAAGATTGCTGTTGCAACAAAACCAAAAGAAATCGCATTCATGGATGTCCCAAAACTTTTCCATGGAGCTTCCCTGTCAATTACTCCTGTTTGAGATGGTGCAGGGTCTGAACTTGTGTACATGTTCCATGGCTTTGATCTTTCAGAACCTAGCTCACTCATTGTCTTCTTGTTTTCTTTCTTCCTGAAGGGCTATTGTGGGTAGCACAACTCTGAAGTATCAAATGTACACTTATAACTTCTTGAAACTGAAATCCAATAGTTGTGTACTGTCTCTGGTCCTGTGGTCAGTCATTGTCCCTGAAGCAAAAAAATTAGCACTCTGATGAATAAAGGAATTGCTTAGCTAACAAAGAGAACAAAAGTTCAACGCGCGTGCACACACACACTAGCAATTACAATGTGAAGGAAGAAGGCCATCATCCTTCATCAACAATAAGAACAAAATTGAACACAATGCTGAAGAAAATGATTATATGATGGCAGATAGGAAAACTTGACCGATTTCGATAAGCTAGGTGAACAGGCAAGTGAATAACTGGTGGTCTAGTTCTAAGACCTGACCCCTAAAAAATCCAGGGGACCTGACCTTCCTAAGGAAAGTGCTCATGTGAATCTTGACAAGAATGCCATTTTTCTAGAGGAGCTTTGACCTTTGCAATTGCCTTTGGATTTCAACTACTGCTCTTCAATTCCCAACAATGGTCTCTCTCTGTCGAATACTAGGCTACCTGCTGTTTTAATTTCAAACTATGTGCCAAGAAACGCCCATTAAATTACTCCTAACTTCTCATAAACATTGCCCTTCACAGGAATGGTTAAGTCATAAACATTTCCCATCACACTACATAAAGATTGGTAATTATCACTACAAAGCAAGAGCATGCCGCTTACTAATTACATTGTTTAGACAAGCATGCCTGTGGACATTCATCAGCACACAGAGATCGTATATTTCCAGAGGTTCAGCTAATCCCACTAAATAATTGCTGTCTATATACACAAGAGTACACAGACAAAGACTAAACTCAGAAGACAGGTTGAAAATGATGCCACTTGTGATATACCAGATCTGAGGTCAGGTAACACCAAGATATTTGAGAAAATGTAATTCTGATCGAAGAAGCTCATGCTAGAAAAACCAATGACAAGCAGATAGAACTAGAACTAACATTACTCGCAGATATTCAAGAGAAGGTGATGCGGATTTTGATGATCTTCGGTTGATGCTGCTCTTCCTGTGGTGTGGTGAAATAGGTGAGCGGCTAATTTGCTATACACTATTATGATCATAGATAGCTATATAAAGTGTAACCTGACCTCATCATTTGGAGGAGCTGGAAGGCATTTGAATTTGGCCCTGAGAAATAGAAGCATGCATCATCCAAGTCTTGAGATTCTAGAGGGTATTAGCTGCCCTGGAAACACAAGACATTTACACTTCTCAATGAATACTTTACGTCATGTAGCTGAGCCGAACTAGCTTTATACTCCAATAGAAAATGTAAAGACAAAGTTAAATGATAATCAAAGGCCAGCAGTACAATTTTTGATGTTCAAGATCCGGATGCCTAACTTACTGATTACTATACCTTGTCTCAAGAAGCATATTTTAAGAAAGGAAAAGCATGGGCCTTCATGTCTGGAGAGCCGAAAACAAGAAAGGCCTCTTGGTGCCTTTAAAAAAGTCGTCACCTTTTGAGTGCTGAATTACATTACATTAACCTTAATAACCCCACAATTAACCTGTAGGCTGCTGGAGTTTATGATTTATCTACTACTCTTGTAATTATGAACTGACAAATAATTATGACCACCAAGTGACCAACCATTGATCAGTTTTTCACATGATGTATGATTATAATCATCATCAAGAAAAATGCCATATTACAGCAAGAAAAACACCCTGGTTAGTGCTAATGGAAATCACTAATTGCTCATTTTGACTATTAATTATCACGTACCTTCTGGATTCTAGTTTAGAGCTCATTTTGACGGGATTAATGCCTAGGTTCCCAGCTCAAATCCAGCTTAAAAATCAAGATGTAATCATGGGAAAGGCATGGCAATATCTCACGTAATCTACCATTAAATAGAAAGAATGAAGATGCTGCTAGGACACCAAAAGGTTGTATATTACAACAGCAACAGCAACAGCAACAAGCCATGTGCATAATTTAATCTGAAAGGGCTTTGCTATAGAACAAGGGCATGTGTGGCCAAAAGACAGAGAGAGAGAGAATCAATGTCTTTGAGACCTTACAGCTATGCAGTACCAAACTGCCATGATTTAAGAGAAGAAAGAAATGGCTGTGTGGCCAGAAGAATGAATCTTGAAAAGGTTGATGATCTAGACCACATTGCTATCAAGAATTAAAAAAAAAAAAAAAAAAGGTAAAATTTAACAACCTGTTGAGAGCGAACCCCTTAACTTTTGTCAGAAACCAACACTAGAGCCACGAAAACCCTTACCTTTAACAATATAAAACGTTCAAAAACATAGAGAGAGAGTGAGAGAGATTACTATTAAGCTAAGAATCCTCTCAGCTACAAAAAGAAATCTTGAATTATTTAGTTTTGGAAAACAAATGGAGTCATTATTGCAGCATAAATTATTAAAAGAAGCCAGGAAAAAGAAAGAAGCTCTTTAATTTTACCTCCAAAACATTGATTGAGACTCTTTTGTCAACTACACAATCACCTTGTCCAAGAATGAAATGAAAGCCTTATCTTCACCTTTCTCATTAAAATTCAAATATATATACATTATTTATTTATTTTCCTATCTCTTTACGATTTTTTTGAGCTCGTTCCAGGTTCGAAGCGCCATTTGTATGAACAAAAATCCCATGATTTCTTCTTTTGAGTCTGAGCTTATTTAATTATCCCTTTGGGATGGCCAAGCTTACAATTCCATAACCTTTTCATGAAACTTGTATTAGATCTCTCTCTCTCTCTCTCTCTGTCTCTCTCTCTCTCTACATATTATTATATATAATTGAGTATCAACGCCATAGAATGCTAACATAATCCAAAAAAATTTAGAGGAGAAACTCGGGGTCATAATGTATTTTCTGATTCCTGATCGGATGATATCTTGTGATCTTCCTTTTGTTTTTCAAAAAAAGGAAAAGAAAAGAATCCATCCCAAAAAATGGTGCTCTATCAAATCAAGAAGTGCCTTTCTTGTTTTTTTTTTTTTTTAATGTCAAAATTACAGCAAATTTTGTATTTTCATGCACAAAGGTCATCTCAAAAGGGAGATGATTGCTTCCCATTTCCATGTAAGACATTTGCAAAAGAAAGAGAAGGGTCCCATGACATGAAAGCACTCCAAAGCAGCCGTTGAAAATAGATTGAAGCATGTTTTTCTCAGCTTTTTTCTTTTCTGTCTCTCTATTTTCTCATCTTTCTCAAACACTAGTCTCCAAACGAAGCAACCCTTTACTTTCCCACCATTTTTACCAACCAATTATCCTGTTCTTAATCTACTGCCTGCTCATTTCCATTTTCTTGTACAACATTGACGGTTTTCGTAAATGAATCCTCTAATACTGTGTATGAATCTGGAAGTTTTTGTTTTCAGTGCCATCATCTGAAATAATCGAGGCATCCAAGGACTCAAGACTTTATCAAAGTGTACGTTTTGTGCTGCTCAGTACATGAGCACTCAGCTAGAGCAGGAAATTAAACAATTTATTCCTTGTTTGTTAAAGTTAAGAGTGTTTAAAAAAATTAAAAAACAGATTAAATTGATTAAAATTTATAAAAAATTAATTAGTTTTATTTTGATTTTATAAATATAAAATTAAAAAAATTAAATTAAATCAAAATTAAAACGAAAAAAACTGAGTAAAACCGGTTTGAACCGGATTTTGTTCTAAAATAATCAAACCGAATCCGGTCAGTTTAAATTAGTTTGATTTATATTTTTTGTTTTAAATTTATTTAATTAATTTTTTAATAAAAACTGAATCATATCCAAAAATAATCCACTCTAATTTAAGTAAGTATTTAACAATGTAGTCATAGATTTTGCTGTAATAATTTTAAACAGTAGGTTTTTCTTTTTGTATAAAATGTTATAAACCATATTTTTTTAGTAAATATTTTAAAAATACAAAGATATATTATATGACACCACAAAAATAAATAAAAACTAAGACCGTAATAATCTGCCTAATTTGCTCTTCCCCTGCAAATTTATCAAATCAAATCTCATATTTAAGAATTGTGAGTATTATAACTTTTCCTTTTAATATGGTTATTTATACCTTATATAAATAATTCTCTCAATTTTAAAATTTAGCTTTACATTTTAAAATCCAACTTGACTTCACAAGTTAATTTGAAACCCGGTCAACTTAATATTTAGCTTATCCTAGACTGAAACCAGATCAAGTTAGAGAAAAAAAAAATTAGTACGGTCCAATAAAACACTGTTAAAAATTCAATTACAATCCATTAATACGGTCCAATAAAGCACTGTTAAAAATTCAATTACAATCCATTAATTTATATTTTTTAACTAAAATAATATCATTTTAATTTTAAAAAATAACCTAAATAATCTAATGATCTAATTAAAATCTAAAACTCGAGTCTCAAACCAGTCTGCCCAACCACTAGAACAGCTCTGAAAACTATACTATCTGTATATCCAAAACTTTATAAATATAATATAAATATTTGTTAAAGAATCAATATAATAAAAACCAACTTTTCATTTCAAGTGGGCTATCCTCACTGAATGCTAGAACACAAGTCCAATTCGAGGCTTCAATACTCTCTGAGTTTGGGCTTGGACCATGTTATCAGGACTCCAGGGACGGCCTATTATTTTTGGGCTTGTCTCATGGGCTTACAGCCACCCCATTAGAAACAGAGTAAGGCTTTCATTGTGATCCTTTGTATATAAACACAGTACAAGGTAGGGAATACTTGAGAATATAGTCAAGACCTAGGAAACACAGTACAAGGTAGGGAATACTTGAGAATTTAAGATTTGATATGTAAGAGATGCTTCATAATTTTAAATTCATTTTTTTTATATTATAAAAAAAATCAATATAACAGAAAAATAAATTCATTTGATTTTATTATAAATTATACCGTTTTAACTGTTTTTTGCAAAACTTCAATACCTTCAATGCTTGGGGCATCCGCCGACTGCACCATTAATGGAGGACACAATCCTCCAGATTGCTTCCACGTACTTTTTAGTCTCCCGGTGATCTGAGATAAGAGTGTTTTTAGCTCATTTCTTTCATCTGAAGTTGAAGGCCGATCATCCCTTCCAGTGTTCTGAATCTTTGCTTGAAGCTCTAACAACATGGACTCCCTGATTTACAAGAGTAGTACCATTCCATCTCCTCCAAGCAACTTCCTATATCATGTTTAATTATCATCTTTCTTACCGACTCCCTCTTAGCAGCCATACCCAATCCACAGCAATTCCAAAAGAAGATCTTCATAAACAACTACAGAAGGACAATACCTTTCCCGAAAGTGGCTTGGAACAGTAGCTACGCGCGTACTGAGAAGCATTCCAATCCTCTATCTCCCTGTCAACATCATCTCGGATTCTAGCGACAAACTCATCAAATGATTGACTATTACTGAACCCCAAGGTGTGTCCATCATTCAGCATCTCCCTTACCTCCACATCTCTGTCACTCTTTGCATGTGTCTGTGATGCAGTTCCCTGTATTTGTATGTAGTGGGGATTGCCTTGCTTAAGGCCCGAGTCCACAGAAACCGTCAAAGATTCTCCCACATCATCTATTGTATTTTGTACGCTGCCATTAACACAAAAGACCTTCACCTTCCTCTTCCTCCGCATAAGAATCATAGGGTGCATGTTAGCTGTTATTCATAGTGATGGCATAAGTTTCGATGGACTGAACTCTAATGCAGTCTGGCTGACAGATGGGATGAATTCCTGACAATTATTGAAGGAATGGCATGGAGAAGGTTCTGAAGAAAGAGTTTTACCCGCAGAGCCTTCCAAAGCCCCAAATTCTTTTTCTCTTGTATCAAGGACTCCAATGATTCTCTTCAAGCCTGTGTCTCGTTGATATAATTTGTTCTCTCCAATTTCAGGAAACATCATTTCAGTTGGGATATCAATAATCTTCCCATCTTCGTAACCATTCACGTTCTAAAAGTCAGGTCCTTCACTCTTAACAGATATATAAGAGAACAGATCGGAGCTTCCAATTTCAACGTTGTCTCTTATGGACCGCTACTGATCATATTCAAACTCATTGTCTTCAAATAATCGCTCCGGGCTGGGATATCGGTTTCGAACTCTTCCATCATTGATTCATAGGAATCGAAAGATACAAGAGTTTGCGATGCTCCCATAAACCTAAACCCACAAAACTGCACTTCACTCGCAACCAAGGACGTCCTGATATCCTGATAACTCACCCCTTTAGAGATCAAACCGACTAAGCATTAATTCAGTTTGCGACTGAACCGTGAACCACCATCGGTATAGGCATGTCTGGTATCTCCGAATCCTTATTTGTTGGTTGGATTTCAGTATAGAAAGGCCTTTCGTTGACTAGTTTGCGATGCGGAATGAAGTTGGATCGATTCCTATAATCAAATCAACCACACAACAAAATAACCATTCGCTTAACTTTTCAAACTCATCAAGATTCTGTATCCATGCGAAAACAAAACTTTGGTTTCAGACCCCATCTATTCATGATCTGAAAGCATCATCCTAGACAATAAAAGGCACGCAGGAGTTTGTTGTTGTGGCATGCACCGTGGAATATCTGGAAATATCAGGAGTTTCGACTTTTTAAAACATGTATCGACCAAGACAACGTTTATAAATTAATCAGTAATGAAGGAACAATCCAAAAACGGAACTTTCTCTTTGTGTCCCAGAAATTCAAGTAGCTTAGAAAAAATATTTATATGTTAGATATTTAGTTAATTTTTTAGTTTTAGTAATTTAATCTATAATAAAAAAACGCTAGTAATTGGTGTATAGTATTTGATAAGCTAAGATAGTTGATACTTATAAAAAATTATTTTTGATATATGAAAACTCATGATGTTTAAAATAAATATTTTTATAAAGAGAAAAAATACAATGAAAGTCTTATTATTTATGCGGTATTTATAACTCTAAAAATATATATATTGAAAGTGTAAAAATGAAAAGATTGTAAACTTGGAGTTTAATGGATTTATATGGTATTTATAACTATAAGTCTTATCATTTATGTAAAGAAGAAATTAAATAGTCATTTTATTTTTATAATATTTTGAGTCATGTTCCACTCAAAATAATATTAATTTGATTAGTATAAAATATCAAGAGACCCACGTGCAATCTTGATAAAATTCATAAGATAGTGTTGGACTTGGACGAGTTGTCTAGACCTGTTAAGGGTGAAAAATAGACTCAAACGTGTTGTTTTGATCCAAGCATTTCATGCTAAGCCCATGTGCCTTGCGTAGACCTCTATCTCTTAATAGTATGTTGGGCTCGAGGATAGTAGATCAAGTCCGTAAGAATTTTTCTGGTCTTTTAAGAGTTTTCTTAGTGCATTAAATTTGGATTTATAACTTTTAAAATCAATACTAGTTAGGTGGTCTGCACAACATAACAGTGCAACTTAAAAAAAAAATATTAAAAAATTTGTTATTTAAGAACACTGAATCTGTCTACAAAAAGAGATTAAAGTGTCTTAAGTCCTAACAGTAATATTTATAATATAAATAATAATATTAATTATAATAAAAAACACTAGTAGTTGGTGTATAGTATTTGATAAGTTAAGGTAGTTGATAATTAATATCTATAAAAAATTATTTTTGATATATAAAAACTCTTAATGTTTAAAAAAAATATTTTTATAAAGAGAAAAAATACAATAAAAGTCTTATCATTTATGCGGTATTTATAACTCTAAAAATATATATATTAAAAGTGTAGAAAATAAAAAGATTATAAACTTAGAGTTTGATAGATTTATACGGTATTTATAATTATAAGTCTTATCATTTATGTAAAGAAGAGATTAAAGAGTTATTTTATTTTTGTAATATTTTAAGTCATGTTCTATTCAAAATAATATGTATTTAATTAGTATAAAATATCAAGAGATCCACATGCAATCTTGAAAAAATTCATAAGATAATGTTGGACTTGAATGAGTTGTCTAAACCTGTTAAGGGTGAAAAATAAACTCAAACGTGCTATTTTGACCCAAGTATTTCACGCTAAGCCCATGTGTCTTGCCTAGACCTCTATCTCTTAATAGCATGTTGGGCTCGAGGATAATAGATCAAGTTCCTAAGAATTTTTCTAGCCTTTTAAGAGTTTTCTTAGTGCATTAAATTTGAATTTATAACTTTTAAAATCAATACTAGTTAGGTGGTCTGCACAACATAACAATGCAACTTTAAAAAAAAAATATTAAAAAATCTATGATTCAAGAACATTAAATCTGTCTACAGAAAGAGAAAAAATTTGTTATTTAAGAACACTGTATCTGTCTACAAAAAGAGATTAAAGTGTCTTAAGTCCTAATAGTAATATTTATAATATAAATAATAATATTAATTATAATAAAAATAAGAAAATTTATAGTACAAATAATAATATTTTTAGTATTTATAATACAAATAATAACATTAATTATATTTTTTTAAAATTTCTTAATTATGATATTAATAATTTTCATTATAATAAAATTTATAATATAAATAATAATATTTTTCATATTAACAATATTAATTATAATAAAAATTATAATATTTTTTATATTAATTATAATATAAATAATAATTTTTTTAATATTAATAATAATATTAAACTTATCTAAGTTTGAATGTGTCTAGCTTCAATATTAAATCTAGGAGCTTTTAGCCTCTTTTTAATGTTAAATCCAAGAATCTTGGATTTGGTCACAATTAAAATCTATTAAAGTTAGATTTGGTTATTAAACTCAAGAAATTTCAATATTGACACCAAACATATTAGTTTTTAATGTGAACAGATTCAAGTACTTTGAATTGGAAAAAGATGTAAGACTAAGTAACTTGAATCTACGTCCCTTCTATTTTCAAGTAACTTGGATAAATATTCCATATGAAATCCAAGTTAATAACAGTAACAATAATAATAATAATAAAATTTATTATTATTTTATCATTCTAATTAGTTTTGTATTTTTTTTATATTAATAAAATTTATTTTTAATTTAATTATATTAATGAATTTAATAATGTTTATGACATTAATAATATTATGAACATGATCAAATCTCCCTCTCCATGGTACACTTTTCCTTTGCATCATGTCCAGTATTGCAGTTCATGATATCAGGGGATAAATTTGTGAAAGCACACATGATGATTCAATAAGCAGGGCAAGAGCTCATAAATTCAAAAAAAATGTTAGCTAACAAGATAATCCTCCCATACTGGTTACCTTAACTACATTTACAGACAACATAAATTTCAACAAATGCCTCTCTATTGTCACCCTGCCATTTAAAAGAGCATAAATTCTTCTGATACAGTAACACAAACAGTATAGAAATATGCACGCCAGATCAGCTGAAAAGACCGTACAAATACATCAGATTTCTCCCCTGTAACCACCAGACCCGAAATAATCCGTCCTGGAGATGGCGAGTTGCTGGCCTCCCCGATGCTCCAACTTGGGGTACTCACGGATGTGGTGACCGAGACCACCACAATAAGCACACCCTTCAATTCCACTTGCAGCAGTAATTGCGTCTCCATCTTCCATTGGATCATTTAACTCACCCAAAACAGGAGGAACCTCTGCTTCGCTTGTTGCAAGAGGTGCTTCAGATCAAGAAGTGTTGTCTCACTCTGGTTTTTGTTTATGAAGGTCGTTGCGATTCCAGTCTTACCACATCTTCCTGTTCGCCCAATCCTATGTACATAGTTTTCAATTTCGGCAGGCATGTCATAGTTAATTACATGTTGAATGTCAGGAAAATCCAAGCCTTTTGAGCGACATCAGTTGCAACCAAGACATCTTTCTTGGCTGCTTTAAATGATGAAATCGCATACTCCCTCTCTTCCTGGTCTTTGCCTCCATGAACGGCAACAGCCTCCACTCCCTTCAGGAGGAGATACTCATGAATGTCATCCACATCAGCCTTGTTCTCACAAAATACCAATACAGGAGGTGGCGTCTTCTGTAGGCACTCAAGAAGGTAAACAATCTTTGCCTCCTGTTTTACATACTCAACCTCCTGAATCACATCAAGGTTTGCTGCCCCGGCTCTTCCCACATTAACAGTGACAGGCTTCACGAGAGCACTTCTAGCAAAATTCTGAATTTTGGTGGGCATGGTAGCAGAGAATAAAAGAGTTTGCCTTTGGGCTTTGAAGTGGTCGAAAACTTCCCTTATGTCATCCTCAAAGCCCAAATCCACTAATCTATCTGCTTCATCCAATGTCAAGTACCTGAAGGGAATGGCAACAATCTTAACAGAAAGTAGCTAGCAGATGAATAAAAAATATATCTTCAGGGAAAAAAGATAAAAAGAGAGCTAGAGAGAGAAGAAAAGTGTATCAAACATTATATGAAAGGATGAAAAAAATTGCATCAAGCGAGCAAACATAGCAAAGCCATACAATTTGCTGCAAGATAAGGAAACTAAGGGGGAATAGAAACAAGAAAATGGCAACACCAACTCTTATACGCACGGTTAAATACAGCTGCATCAAACATTTTCAATTCAAGATGTCATCTTTATAGCTACACAAAGAAGCTGAAGATGCAATACCAAGAATGTTTATTCAGACTATACATCTTCAAAGAATCATTGAGCAACTAATATGAAATTATTCTCCAGACAACACAAGTTCCTCCATCACTTCCTATGATGTTAAAGGCTATCTTATTAGCAATGTCCTTTGTGGCTTTCTCAAATGACAGGAACCATGTCAAACTCAAATGCACCACTTGTGGAGAAAAAGCCAAATTAAATCTGAGTAGCAAATATGATCAAGTTTAAGGTTTTGAAGTCTAGCAAGACTAGAAGTATAACCGGCAAGCAGACATTATCTGAGTTTGAAAAAAGTTTTGAGATGAGGAATGTCAGCTGAGGTTGCATGTCTGCAGAACTAAAAAAAGGATAATAAAAAATACTTAATTGATAAGGAGGTCTGGAAAAAAAAAGAGGAAATATATGGCAGGGGCTTAGTTTGGAATCAAATCTATATGGATGCATATAGCAAATAGAGACCCTCTCAACAAGATAAAAGTAAGAATCCATAACTATCACAATAACAATAGAGAACAAAGTCATTAATTTAAAACAATACTGTATCACAAAATAAATGGTTCAAACCTGCAGTTGTCCAGGCTCATTTTCTTCTTTGCTAGCATGTCCTTCAACCTTCCAGGAGTTGCAACTACAATGTGCACACCCTTCTTTACAACCTCCAACTGCGACCTCATATCCACTCCACCAATACATAGTAATGGCCTCAGTTCTGGATACCCAGCTGCTCTCATCGGAATCAAAAATTCTTCCACAACTTCATAAGTTTGTCTGGCAAGTTCTCTTGATGGGCAGACAATCAAACCAACAGGGCCTTCTCCAGGCATGATGGGCATCATAATCTCCTCCTGTAAAGCAATCATAATCAGTGGAAGCACAAAAACAAGAGTCTTCCCAGATCCTGTAAAGGCAATCCCAATCATGTCCCTTCCTGTTAAGATAACAGGAAGACCTTGCACCTGAATAGGAGTAGGTTGCACGATCCCTTTGGCTTTTAGCATTTTCAAAATAGGATCGAGAAACCTCATATCTTTAAAATTCTTAATCGGTGGAGGAATTTTTTCACCATCAACTATTATATGCCACTGTTTTCGAATTGCATCACATTCCTTTCTGGACATTTTCCTGATTTGAAGCGGCGGCTTCCATCCTGTCAACAAAGGCTCTGTATATGTGATTCCCTTCGCCAACTCACGAACTGACATGAGTGTTTTCTTATCAGATAGATGCTCTATCATTTCTTTTTCTTGTTGCACAATCTGCTCCGTCTGACTAATTTCAGGTTGGTCACGCTTGAGCTGAGATGCTTTGACCAGGAGACTGGGTTTGGCTTCTGCAAGTTTTGATTTTTCAAGTTCATCCTCTAAAGCAGAGATATTTCCCCTTCTTTGAAGAATCATTTGAGCTGTCAATGCTCGACGCTTCACCACAGGAACATACTCCACGAAGTTATCCTCTTCCTCCATGCTTTAATTTCCTGTAGCAACACAAATTCATCAGCAACCACTGTATTTTAAAATTCCAATGAAAAAAAACAAAAAACAAAAACACGCTGCAGGTCCTCCAAACTTACACTTGTTGGAAGCGAACATGACAACACAACATAAAATAACAAGAAAAAGAAAACCAAGTTTAGCAATAAGCCACTTAGGCCCTGTTCAATAACACAAAACAATTTTCCCTTATCATTTTCAATTTTCTTCTCTTTTTCTAGTTTTTCTTCTTCAATAGAAAAATAGAGAAGTTCATTTCTTAAAATTTCAGATCATTTTTCCAACTCAGAAAATTGGAAAATGTGTTCATTTTATATTGTTTCCCATTTCGAGAAAAATGGCAAAATGAAAATTGTATTCAAATTAAACATTTTCTATGATATTCTTAATATCTTGACATACACAAATATTTTTTATCATTATTTTGAAAGGTTTTGAGATAACTTTTCCACCTAATTAAATTGAATGAGTTACAAGAATGAACATAACAATATAATATTTTCATTGTTAGAGAGTATTAATAATGAAGTCTTACACCCATGAACAATATTAATTAAGATACAATAAATTCTTAATGATTATTATAATCATTCCACAATTGATCTGCAATGGCTTCCCTAACCAAACTCATTTGTTGTTGTTGAGATATATCACCTTGAATGCCTTCTTGCACTACACTAGTATTGTTCTCGTTAAGAAATTCGAATCCTTCTCTATCAATAATCATCCACTCTACCTTCCATCCAAACAAAATTATGTAACACTCAACAAGCAATTGGAATTAACATCTAGCTGATCCAAAAATGTCGCTAGTGAGGCACTCAGAATTCCCATCCCCAATTTCACCCTGTGAGTGTCAGAATGTCATTATCACTCATGGTACTAAGATAATCTCCACCTCCACTAAAAATGTGAAAGAAAAAAATGAAGAAAACAAACATTGCTTGTCAATCGTTTGTCTAATAGTAGATGGTTTTACTCCCATATGATGGCAAGAAAGGTGACATCAATTGCACCTAGAACAATGTTTGCAAGCTGTTCCCCTAAGGGGAATAGATGATGCTGGTGTGCACAGCTAAGGATAATTTAAACCGGCTTGGAGTTACTCTAGCGTAACCAAGTTGAATCCATTAGGTTTCCCAAGTCTTTTAGTATAGTTGAGTGGAATTTATTTTAATTATCACATAATTAAAAAAAGAAAAAGAAAAAAGCTTGAAGCATTGCCCGGGCATAATAGCTAGTTGTAGTCTGACATAACACTATAACAAGTCCATCTGTAATAGCATCATAGCATCAACAAGTTGAACATTGTTTCCCTATACTAGAATGTTAACTAAGGAATGTTAAACCAAGCAATGAATTCATAATTGTATCAGCTACGATTACAGAAACCCAAGTAGAAAAGGAAGAGAGGGTTTTTGAAGCGCGATTTCCATCGATGATATTCGACAAGAAAATGAGGCGATAGAAGGAGAAAAAATCGATGTAAGACCATCAAATGAAGAAATAGAACAGAGGAAAGAAGAAATCTGGGAACATCAAAAAAGCAAGACCAAATTAATCATACCTAGGTCAATTTCTTCTCGCTTTTGTGCTGGAGCTACTGGCTGCTGCTTGCTTTTGTGCTGAACACACTTAATCTTTATTAGCAAAGGAAAACACAAATCCGTCTGTGCGTTGCGTACAATCTACCTTCTGCCTACAAGGTATCGCATACACCTTGAGGTGGGAATCAGGCAATCACTTGCAAAGAAGGGAAGGCTGAATCTAATTCAACCCCGTCACAGGTGCTCTGACCATATGGGCGTACCAGAGGTTTTGGGAGAATGGATGGCAGGCAAGAGAAGGGTTATATATAGAGAGAGGGGGGCATATTTGGAATTTTGTAAAAGTACAGGCTTTATTGTTCGGAAAAAACCATTAACGTGAGAAGCGATTTTTGAACTGCGAAGAAATTTTGGAAAACATCTAAAAATGTTTTCTGACTTGCATAGTTTTAAAATTTTACCTGATTATTGATTTGTTTTAATAATTGGTTTAGATGGATTTATTGGGATTAATTTAAAAAAATATTTATATAAAATATTTTATTAGTTACAAATTTAAAATGCAACATTTATATAAATTAATTTTAAATTTTAAATTAACAATATAAATTTAATTCAATATCCAAAACATAAATAAAATATAAATTTTAAAATATTTTAAACAAAACATCCAACAACATAAATTTTAAATCAACAATATATTTATTTTTGTTGAATAAACACATTAAGTTTTTATGTATCCATTAAAACAAAATTTAAATTAAATATCAAATAAAAATGAACCAATCTCATCAACATCTAATAAATCATTTACATACTCCTTTAAAATTTCATCATCACAATTATTTTTAATTTTATTAATATTTATGATATTTATTTTTTTTCTTAATTTGATGACCACGTTCAGCTATTAAGTTAATATATGCTTGGTTTATTTTTATGTTTTAAAAAATTTATATTTTATTTATATTTTTTAAATTAATATTTTTAGATTATTTTAATATATTAATATTAAAAATAATTTTTTAAAAAATAAAAATATTATTTTTATATATTTTTAAATAAAAAATAATTAAAAAATAATCACAATAAATTTATTATATTGCTACTAGATTTAAAGTTTTTTTAGTTTTAAAATTTTATCATGTAATTTACACGTTAACTTTTAAGAAAATTTAAAATTTAAGATAATTTTATTTTAATCTAAAAAAATTTAATATTTTTTAAACAAAATTAAAATATATTTTTTAAAAAAATAGTAATTAAACATTTACTGAATTTACTAGGGAGGTTAACTTGAATTTATTTTTGACTGAGTCAATGAGATTTTTATTCAACCATCATATGCCACCGCAGGCCCAACTCCTGCATATGTGGCAACCAGGGAGACAGACCTATTCACGATCCAATAGGCAGCTAATTTTTTAATCATAACATTTTATAAGCCCAAAGGTATAATTGTGCTCTATTTTCCTGTTCCTAGCAGCAGTTTTTGTGTATACTTGAGAATTATTTTTTAAAATATTTTATTTAAAAATATATTAAGATAATATTTTAAAAAAATTATTTGTAATATCAATATATTAAAATAATAATAATTTAAAAGTAAAAAGTAAAAATTCAAAATTTCTTAGAAAATGTGATACAATCACAAACATACTCTTTTAATCTTTTAATATGTTGATTAAAGGTGAGGAAATTAATTGAATTATTTGAAATATATAAATAGTATTTATAATTTTTTCATTAGCACATACATTGACATATCCCAAATATAATGTATATAATTTTTATAATTTTTTCATAAGCACAACATGTCCCAAATATAATACAAATAATAATATTTTTAATATTAACTATATTAATTATAAGATCAGTAGATATTAACAATATTAATTATAATGAAAATTACAATATTTATAATAAAAATAATAAATTTTTAATGTTAATAATAATAAAATTTAAAATATTTAAAATATAAATAACAATATTTTTGGATGTTGCTGCACAGCTAGACCTAACCCTTTTTTTATATGTTTTGGAGCTGGTTGAGTAAAACCAATACTATTGGATTCTTCTAGACTATAGGACCCAACACTATTAATTTTTTTTAGAAGTGTTTTGGGCTCGACTTGGTAAGTAGACCTAATAATGTTGGGTTTAGTTGTCAAGCCAAACCCAGCAGTTTCAACAAAGAAAACAACGCTTCTAGCTACAATTCTTGACAAAAAAACATAGTAGAGGAACATCTTCCAGGGTGCTACAATGATGTTCATAATGAAAACAGTGGTTATAGTGTTATTCACAATACAATGTGCCTGTGTCCACTTATATGCGCTTTGAAAGAGCCCAAAAGAGAGTAAATTCAAACAATACAATTCATAATAAAATCATTCACAACACAACCTACAATAATTTGAAACAATGCATTTCATAGTGAAATAACTCATAATCCATAATAATTTGTGCTACATTAAAACACTGAATCTTTTTAGTTATAATTAATTTAACTCCTTGCTTTTATAGTTTTTACTAAAATAAATATTTGTTAAGAAGTTTAAGCTTTATTGCTTAACTCTAGAAGGTGATTTTTCTCATAAGGTATGCTAGGTTTCATTCAAAAATGCATAAGAAGTTATGATTTTTGAAATATAAAGCAACTTATTTTGTGAAAAAACAATTAGGCTCATTTTTTTTTTGTTAAGTTACAACATAAAATTGTCAATGCTGCATCTTTAGATTTATTATTATAAAGATTTATACATGGTTAACCATTAAGTAACTCAATTATCCATTAGAAAAAAAAAAAGACAACCTTTGTAACTCAATTATCCATTAGAAAAAAAAAAAAAAAGACATCCTTTATATTTTTCCCCTAACCTTTCCTAATATCATAAAAAAATGTCAAGATTAATTTACCACCCAGCTTCTTCTTCTTGTTGCTGATGTTTTATCAATTCATCAATTTCATTCATAAAGAAGATGAAGATAAATCACTTTGAACCACATATATCACACAGAGAATTAGGATTATGCTTACGAAGAAAAGCTTGAGAAGAAGATGATGCAAAGTAGTCTATCTGTAGCAATCATTGAGTAGCAGTCTTCATTTTCTGTCCCTAGATAACCCTGAAGACAGTCTGATTCAAGCATATTATCTTAGAGAATCCTACTTCCTTTGCTTCCCCAAGGACAATAGGTAGATGGGGCTGAATCCATTTATGAGCATTCGGGAGGGCGTCTCCGTGATGATCTCTGGCAATTATGTCGAGTCCATAGCTTGCAGAACAAAGATCTGTATCTGAGTTGAGCTTCACAAAGATTTCAGGAAGTCGTTGCGTGTTGACTTTTTTGATCGCGAGACTAAGTCAAGTGGGCAGTTTGTAGAACAGCAACAACAAAAAGAAGTTATTTAATAAATGCATGTTTCTTGAACACGGATTAACCAAGATTTATCATTAGCTTTCAAATCAAAATATTTAGTAAAGCCTGAGCATAGATGTAGGGTGTGTTTGAGATTGTAATAATGGTGGCAATTTAAAATGTTTTTCATCTATAAATATATTAAAATAAAAAAAAATTATTTTAAAAAAAATATTTTTGATATTATCATATCAAAACAAAATAAAAATATATAATTTTTATTATTTTTGATATTAGCATATCAAAACAAAATAAAAACATATAATTTTTTTTATTTTAAGTAAAAAATCAAAATTTAAAGGAACACGGTTTGTACCGTATTTCCAAACAATTAAAGCTGAAACATTCAAAGACTTATAAAATCATTGGATTAGTTAACATGTTTAGGTATAATCATCCACAAGCTCAGTTATAAATGTTAGAGAATAATATAAATTATATCCTGATACCTCATCTAATAACTTAATCTATTAGGTTGAGATAGTTATTTGAAATGGTATTAGAGTTTTGATGACCAAGTGGTCACGAATTCGAATCTCACCATCTCCATTTATTTGATAAAAATTAAACATAAGGTAATGTGGGTTGTGCAAGTTTCAAGGCCAAAGAGCTTTTATTTAGATGGTATGTTAAAAAATAATATAAATCATATCCTAAAACAACCAAATACAAAATCACGAGTAAAATATATCAGACACCATAAATTATTAATTAAAGCGGAAACCGTTCCATAAAATTTTATCCTTTAATTTAGTTAATTTTCCATATAAATTAGGGATAATTTCTATAATTAACAAAAGTCTTAAAAATTCACGTATGAATCACGTATGTTTAAGGACATTTAGCATCACATGCTAGTCATACGAGGACAAAAACCTAATCTAATTTATTGTTTATTTGATATTATGGTAATTTTTAATTTTCAAAGTACTTTTAAAATTTTTTTTATCTGAAAAAAACATCAAATTAATTTTTTATGGTGTTTTTCGATGATTTAAATATGCTAATGTTAAAAATATTTTTTTTTTAAATCATTTTGAAGCATTCTTAATTGAAAAGCACACTCCACCATATTACCAAACACACACTTAATAAAATAATTAATTTTTTTCCTTTTAGTTTCCTTTTAAGAGCCTTTTTTTCTTGTTTCAAAAGTATTTTTGAAAAAAATTAAATTTTTATTTTATTTTTTCATCACTTCAAATTATGTTTTTTCTTTTTTTTTTGTGTTTTTATATTGTTTTGATGTGTTGATATAAATAATATTTTTTAAAAAATATATTATTTTGATACATTTTCAAGCAAAAAATACTTTGGAAACACAATCGTTATCACACTTCTATACACCTCCTAAGTCTTTATGCGTTGGATGAATCGAATACAAACTATGTGTAATTTTTATTTTACCAATAGTTAGGGGTTGACACTAGATAAATCGAATACAAACTATGTGTAATTCTTATTTTACCAATAGTCAAGGGTTGACATATTTTCATGAATAAAAAAAATAAGAAAGATATATAAAAAAATAAATATATAAAAATTGGTGAATGAAAAATTCTTAATTACTTAAAAATGGTACTTTTACTAGATTTATAGTTAGTGCTCACGGGCCAATCAAATCTTTTTTTGATGTAAAAACAACTCTAAGGAAAAAAAATTCAAAACTCGAGTAATTGGATCAATTGATAATTTAAATAATATAAATAAAAAATTTAACAACACCAAATAAAAAAAATGATAACATAAAAAAGGTAAAACAAACCTGACATGAGCCTATATTTGGATCATCATTGAAAAGAATAAGGTTCAAATTTGATTAAAAAAACCCATGACGGATGAAATTGTAAGAAAAAAGAAATC